GAATATATAATCTTGGGAATTATTAGTTTATAGAATTGGGATGAAAATAAACTTTCATTTTTATTAAATCTGCTGAAATAGGGAGAATTTGCACTGGTTTTTAAAATTTTATAACATTTTTTTATGTTGCAAACACCTTATCTACTAATGTATTTATAAAAATAGAATGATATCTTCAATTACAATATTTTGAATCGCGCCTTATTTTTTTTACAATGTTTAAAAATTAAATGAATCGGAATTACATAGGCGCCTCCGTTATTAGACCCTCCATGAAGAATTCCTACTAACAGATTATTGTTATCAAAAACTGGAGAACCCGAATCTCCTGGTGCACCTATATTATAAATTAATAGTAAATGATATTAGTTGCAAAATATTATCAAATAAAGGACATGCCAGATATTAGCAGAGATCAATTTAATATAAATTTCTCGCTCCCTTCCTCTTTCTCTTCCACCCGAGAAATTTAGTCATTCTGATTGGTATATGTATATATTTAGACCTGAAATTTTTTTATATCTTCCCCACCCTATGATATCAGCTGGTATCTGACTATTGACTTACCAAATGCTCCATTATTGCCAGATAAATATAAAGCATAAATTTTTCTTGGAGGATCAAAAACTGCAGATATAACCTCTACCCATTCATCAGTTTCCTTCCAACCTTTTTAACATCTATTACGTTATTTGGATCATTGCTTATAGATGTCTTGAAACGGGAAACAGTTACGTGAGTTTGGTAGATGTTATTTGGAATTAGAGGCACTCTATTATCATTGCTAATTCTGCAAAAAGCGTAATCAAGAAGGTGTCCATCTTCATCAGTACTCAAGGAACTATACTTTGTAACTGTGGCACAACCCTTAGAAGAAATCTTTGTCAAAAAAAGAGATCAACAAAGTAAGCCACCGAAAAGCCAAGCTTTCATTAAATACTTACATGATCTAATTTTCCCGGTTGGACTACTGGTGTGTCTTTCTTCTCAAGCCCATGTTTTGTAGTAAGAATAAAAACACCACCAGGTATCGTTTGTGTTTCAGCTAATATGCCTAACGTACAGTAGGCAACAAAAGTAACGCCCGATGATAGTAAAATACATATAAAATCCTTTTTAGGACATTTTGTTATTAGAAAAAAAAACAATTTTTTTTTTAGCACCGGTGAAAATTATACGTCGTAAAATATAAATATCAAAGTTTCTAATAATATAAAATTAGAAAATATTTATTATTAAAACTTCGGATTTTTAACAATTTTAAAATTTTGAATTTTTATTATGTTTTACTATGTAATTTTTTGTAAAATTAAATTGTAACGGTAAATATTGTGTTATATTAAAACTTTTATTTTTTTATAATAATAATTTTTTATTTTAAAAATATAATAGTAATGCTATTAATAATTATAGTTAAGTTTTTTTAAAAAAGATTTTGAAATTTGTATATTTAATTTTAAAGTATGTTTTACATATAGAATTGTAAACTTCATAAATTAAAAAAAAATCCAATTTGTTTTGCACGATGAAACTCATATATTATAGAATATAAACAGTGTTGGCAAATAGAACAATAGAATAAATGCTCAATCTTTGTCTTCATATAAAAAACATGTTTTTATTAATAATCTGTAATGACTATTGCTAACTTGCCCCCGGGATGATATCACCTAGTTATATGTAAAACCAAGCGAAGAAATAAAAAAAAAACAAATAACTCAAAATTCTATTATGAAAACTATGCTTCGACTTCTAAGCAAAAGTTTTCAACATCAAATTTTACATGTAAGCAATACCTCTTACC